ATTAAAGAATAAATAAAATTAGTTTCAATATTTTAAAAGATGTTAAAAAGTAACATTACAAATAAAATGTAAATGAATAGGATGGTATATTTGCATTTAAAGTAAACTAAAAATGTTTACTAGATTATAAAAGAGTAGTTCTTCATTAAATTATATAATCAAATTTTTACTTTATTTGATTTTAAACATATTATTCTGAACAGTGAACTAATGTAAATTTGATTTAAGTTTAAAATTGTCCGGCCAAAATTTGATATTTTTTTATTATATAGAAACATAGAAATATGAAGTTGAGGACGATCGAGGATAATATGGTCATTTCATATATATTCATTTAAATTCTATAAATTCTATTTTTAAATTGTCAAAATATTTTTTCAAGTGACTAAATTTCCTCCATAAGTTACATGATTATTCTAGAAACTATAAATTATAAGATTTTTGTAGAACTAACTATGACACAAATAAATAGACATTAACTCATTCTTCATTTCATTCACTCCTCAATTCTCTCTCCTCTCATGTCTTGTACCAATAAATTTTTCGTCCTTTATTTCTAATTTGCATCATAAATATTACACACTTCGATATAGATCTCTTATTAGGATGACCAATAATGCAATTTTTTTGAACATTAAGAACTTTATTTTTTATCTATTCCCTACATAATGGTTCTACTTTTGTAAAACAATTATAAGACAAAAGTAAAATTCGTTATTTCGAACACATCACTTCTGGGACTTGTCCATATAACAAATTTTCAGCAAAATTCAACTAATTCATATTTTTCAAACACTCTAATGAACATGCTAATGGTCCAGTTAACATGTTAAATTCAATATCAATCACAATTGCAATTCTCAGAAGGCCTAATTCATAAGGAATGCAACCAGTGAGCAAGCTCTTCAAGAACAAAATTTTCAATAATTTCAGAGCATGTTATGTCCTTTCCTTTGGTTCTCTTTAAACTTTTCAATTTCATGGTGTTGCTTTTCTTTTTGGATTGTAATGATAATTTTTAAAGTATCTAATTTACTTGATTTCTCTTTTTATGTATAATCCCAAAGCTTCACGTAACATATATGTCATTATATAATTCATTGAGAAATATATATTTATTTATTACTATTATTTTAACATCAGTTAAAATCATTTTAAGCAAGTTATATAAATTATTTTTTTAACTACGTCATGATAAATTACTGCAATATATATTATATTAACTTTTCTTAATATTTTTAAATTCTCATTATTTGAGGTAAAACATTCATTCATCAGGTATATAAATTAATTTAGAAAAAAAAAATCTTACTATACTAAATTGTTCTCCTAATTTTAATGAATATAAAGACAAGATATAAAGTCATAACTTTTTTCATCTTTTTATCACTTTGTAAAGAATGTGATGATTCATTCTAATTTTATCAAGTAGTTCATTATTTTTGTTTATTAAACACCTAAAAAAAAAAAAAAGTGTATTCAAAATTAATCTATAGATGGATCAATAGACTTTATTGCTTCATATAGTTTATGAAAATTGTTAATATATTAAGACTCGTAATTTTAATCTGTTCTCTTGAATAATTTTCAAATAAAATAGAAAAAAATATCATTAAATTAATTATTCAATTCGAATATACATGTTTGACATGATGTTAAAATAATCACTGGAGCATGTGATATATATATATATATATATTTTTTTTTATTTTTTTTTATTTTTATTATTATTATTATTATTATTTCTTATCATGTTTATTTGAAAATGTCATAAGGATTTTTCTTTTTGAAAACTAATTAAATTTTTATTATAAATATATATAATATTGTAATATCGAGCCCGTAAACGGGCCTTAGGCCGCCTTAAATTATGTAGCAGTAATAAACATGTGTTTTGTGTAGGTAGTGGTAGGCAATGGCAGTGTGTTACATAAAGTGATAAAAGCTGCATATGAAATGGAATCTCCCTTTGTTATTCAAATGGATGTTGGATCGATCATTCAAAGGGAATTAGAATCTTCACAGATACTCATCAATATGTCTCGACACATGCACTCCACAATCACTAACTTTTTAGTCAATCGAAAAGATATATACTCCATTCTTCCGCCCACTAACTCATTCATTCTCCCCCAAATTCATATCAATGCACATAAAAATAAGTTAGAAAAGATATACATTGAGTATAGGAATAGCTAGTATTGAGAATTGTTCAAACTTCCAATGGGAAAATTTAATAATTCTATCCTAATTTAGTAAATGATCAAAGATAACTACGTATTTTTTTAAAATTCATAAACTTAAAATTATACTTCAGTTTTAATGGTAGAAAATTGAAAGTTACAAAATGTAGGCCAATTCAACTGCAAAGGGAAAAATAAAAGCAAAGCTAGGTCTTGGAATTTAGTACATTGATCCTGATAGATGAAACACACAAACATAAAAGAGAAAAGAGAAAAGAGAAAAACAGATTAAAAATAAATAAAATCTAACCCACACCCATGTCCAAATATCCCCAGATTGTATACCATAACATATCCCACCCTTCACCCTAATTATGTAATAAATTTGAACAATTAAAGATATGCACCATTTGCTGTTGGCAGATCCAACCATGTTGAAAGGGTCGGGTTCCAGAAACCCAACTCTCCTCCAGCCACTGCAGCCGAATCCAAAATCATTGACGATGATGATGATGATGGTCCATGAATGGAATCCGGATAACATCGATTTGTTGACGCTTTTAGCCTTTGATATAACTCTTGAAATCCTCTACTGTTTTGCACTTCACCAACTATACTACTAACATTTTCCTGATAATTATTTTTCCATAAACCGTTGTTGGGAGGAAATTGATTATACCCAATTGATTTGTGCTCATCCTTAACAAAATTAAGGCTATGATGATTTCCTTCAAGTAACGAAAGAATGGGATTATGATTCTGATGAGGTGAGGAAAAGAGAAAAGGGTTATTATTGGAAGGTATTATTTCCTGCTCAAACTCTCCAAAAATGCCTGATTTTCCAATCAACTCAAACGGAAGTGAATTTTTCAATTTTGCAGCAGTTGATTTTGCTGTAGTGATGGTCTTGTTTTTTCTGCAACCACCACCTATAGGAACGTTGCGTAACGCGCCTCCTTTAGTCCAATAACGTCGACAAGTCTTGCAGAAATGACGAGGCTGAGTTAAATTGTAGTTGTTGTAGTAACAAAACTTAGTGTTTGGGGAATCACAACGCGGACATCTAAGATTTTCCGAGTTTGCATTTGCACTTGCAGCTGCAGGGGGGATATTGGAATTAGAAGTAGTACAAGAAATAGGAGAGGAAGAAGGAGTAATATTAGATAGCTTTGAAATATTATTATCTCCTCCTCCGATAAGTGTTGTAGTGTTTCCTGCAAAGAGCTCTTGAATCATTTTTTTTAAAAGAGAAAAAGCAAATGTGTTTTACTCTTTTCGAAGTAGGAAACCTAAGAATATTTTGGTGATGGATGAAAATGTGAAAGAGAGAAATAAGTAGTAGTATCTTTTTTATGGTGTGAAAGGATGGAGAATGGAATGATATATATAGGAACTCTAATACTCTATAAAGAGAAAAGCCATACTTGAAAACAACTTGTGTTTTTTTAGATTTTGGAATGTAGCGTTAGTGCGTTTTGAAGAGAAACGAAAATAGATCTTTCTTGAATGATTGATCGTTGGAAAAAAATGCTAGTAACAGAAAATTATTATTCTTTTGTTTTCTTTGGTTGTTAACGATAGAAATGTACTGCAATGTGACAATTCATATAAGAATACTGAAAAGAATATTCAAATAAAAAGATTTTCTTCATAGAAAAATGAATTACTATAATTTTTTCCCAAACGACTTAAATAAGAAAATTGTCATATGGAATAAAAATGGAGGGATAATGTGGTTAGGATGTTGCCAAATCTGACATACAAGGTATAATTCGAGAGAGGTGTAGCCTTATAATCTTTTGTGGATTTAATTATCAAATAAATATGAAGATTATTTATGACTCCAGTAATTCAAAAAAATTTACCACCATCAACCATGTAACTCTTTCCCCAAGGCTACGACAAATAAGAAGAATCAACTAGTATTTTTTTAGGAAGAGGCTCCTCTCCAGTACCCTAATCTCTCCAGTTGGTCCAGTGCATATTTAATTTAAGGGAAAAGGCTCAAATATGCCATCGAACTTTCAGAAAAGGCTCATTTATGCCATCCGTTAAAAGTTTGGCTCATCTATGCCATTACCGTTTAAGAAAAGGCTCATTCATGCCATTATTTTTTAACGGTGGTTTTACAAAACCATTTTTTACACGTGGCCAATTATAATTCGGCCACGTCATTATTTTTTTATAATAAAAAATCAAAATTCTGAAAAAAATAATGACGTGGCCGAATTATAATTGGCCACGTGTAAAAAATGGTTTTGTAAAACCACCGTTAAAAAATAATGGCATGAATGAGCCTTTTCTTAAACGGTAATGGCATAGATGAGCCAAACTTTTAACGGATGGCATAAATGAGCCTTTTCTGAAAGTTCGATGGCATATTTGAGCCTTTTCCCTTAAATTAAATATGCACTGGACCAACTGGAGAGATTAGGGTACTGGAGAGGAGCCTCTTCCTAAAAAAATACTAGTTGATTCTTCTTATTTGTCGTAGCCTTGGGGAAAGAGTTACATGGTTGATGGTGGTAAATTTTTTTGAATTACTGGAGTCATAAATAATCTTCATATTTATTTGATAATTAAATCCACAAAAGATTATAAGGCTACACCTCTCTCGAATTATACCTGGAGAGTTTTGGAGGGGGAAGAAGTGTTTCTTTGCTGATTGAAAAAGGAAAGAGAGGAAAGAGAATTACTAATAACCATGGTTAATGATATTTGATCATGGTTTAAAGGCTGCTTTATTTAAATAAATATGGATCATTAGATTTTGAAATTTACAGATGTTTTAACGGTGGTTTTGCAAAACCATTTTTTACACGTGGCCAATTATAATTCGGCCACGTCATTATTTTTTTCAGAATTTTGATTTTTTATTATAAAAATAATAATGACGTGGCCGAATTATAATTGGCCACGTGTAAAAAATGGTTTTGCAAAACCACCGTTAAAACATCTGTAAATTTCAAAATCTAATGATCCATATTTATTTAAATAAAGCAGCCTTTAAACCATGATCAAATATCATTAACCATGGTTATTACTATTTCTCTTTCTCTCTCCTCTCTCATCTCTTTCTTTCTCACTTAATTCTGTAACAAACCTTTTCTCAATCAGCAAAGAATTTGCTTTGTTAACAACAAATCGCTTTTTCTTTTCATTATTTTCACACCATGATAAAAGAAGACAAAATTCAAAGGATGAACTTGGGTTATAAAATTTAAAAAATCCAAACCATGAGACTACTTCTTTGAAGCTTGGTTGGTCACAATGGTGATCCACAAAACTCTGTCGTCTTCTTCGTAACATCAATTTTTTCAATTTAGAGTTTCTGCAAAAGCCAACTAAAAGATCCGGAAAGGGCACGAAAAATGGGTAGGAAAATATTTTTTCATATACTTTTTTTTTCTGGTGAAATTCTCCATTTATTTTTTGGGTCTTCTTTTCTTGTGGTATTTATAACTATAATCTTTAATTGAGGCTAATCACTCCATATGTCAGTCTTTCTCTTTTGAGACTCTCCCTAGTTGTTCATATGTAAATGTAAAAACATTAAAATACTGATGTAATTTTAATTTTCAATTGTTTGATTGCTCTATTTTTCGAAGAATTTTGGAGGGGGAAGAAGTGTTTCTTTGCTGATTGAAAAAGGAAAGAGAGGAAAGAGAATTACTAATAACCATGGTTAATGATATTTGGTCAAGAAAATTAATCTGGTCCATTAAAAATTAAACTAACACGTGTCAACTATATGAAATAGCACTGGGAGAAACTGGAGAGATCATCACTGGAGGGATCCTCTTTCAATTTTTTTATCTCTACTGAGTTTTGAACCTGAAAGATTAAAACTCAGAGTCCTCAACCACTTTATTGACCACTGAGTCGTCACACCATTGATGCTCCATTCAATTTTATATCTAGTAGAAAAAAGGCAAAGTTTTATACAAAGAATATTAACTGTTGCAAGGATTATGTTTTGTCATTGCCTACTGTTGGGAGAAATTAAGAAAATTTTGAAAGTTGTTCAAGTATAGCTAATCCATCTTCATTATGGACAAGTAATTATTGTGAAATGAAAGTGGGAATTTAGGAAGAAGCCAAAAATTTAGGATGATGATGGCAATCAAGTTTTCTAAAAGAACACAACCCTACTTAGGGCTTTGTGTCTATGCAATTATTCAGAAACAATAATCATCATTACAAGTTCAAAACAATTATTGCCTTGAAATACGTGTAAAGTAGATGCCCAGCCAACCAGCAAATAAAACTCCTCAGTGCATGTCCCCCCGAAGATTTGGGCATTAATTTTTCCCTAATCTTCCATATAATCTTTGTTTTTCTTACTTTTAATTTTCTGGAAATGATTAGTAATCAATTAATCTTAAATACTCCATTGTCATAACAAATGTTTACACGAGTTACTCATTGGTGGCATTATGATATCAAATCATCTATGGAATTACGACCTCAATTCCACCATAAGCGTATCGATGTATATGTATTTGTACTATACACTTTTTACATTTAATTATAATTAATAAACTAATATGATTTGATGTGAAGTCTGAATGTTCAAATGTTTCTTACTCTCTTTTACATAATGTGTCCAAGTAAAATGATGATTAGTACGATAAGTCGCGGTCAAAAGTTATAGATATGTTTATTTCTTTTATATTGGGTTACACTGGAATTTGTTAATTATTTCATTGGAATTAAGTCATGCAACTTGCTAGAAATTCATGCTAAGACGGAACCTTTGATCATTAAATATTGAGTTCACACCTGATGTGAAAACCATTTTGAAGATTCGAAATACCTTAATTCCAACGGTCTCTCGACCATCTTCCAAAGTCTGTTTTTTTACCTAAAAGTGTCTCGTGAGGTCTCACGGGTGGACCTACCCTTGTTATCTGAACTAAAACGTTAATACAATTTATATTTTAAAATATATATATATTGTATGTTGATTTTCGTTGTTCAAGAAAAATTCTGACTCCACCATTCTCTCATCTTGACATTTAGACGACAATATAGTGTACATCGAATTTTATGAGCCTTCCAGAAATTCAATACTCAATATAGTCTTTTTAACTTAAATGTTATTTAAGATATTGGCATGTTTCAAAAGTATTCACAACTAACAAAATTATGTGTTCGTTCCGTCAAATTTAAGCCATGATTCTGACGATATACTATCCATTGCTTTCCTGTAATAATAATGATAATAAGAACATGTATGGCCAATTTTAAAGACAAGTAAAATTAGATAATGATTGAGAGACAGGTTGAAAGTTTTGGTTGCTAAATTTAACGTTTCGGAAAGAAGGCTTTCATGCTTTTTAGAAACGTCACAAATGCAAAAATATGCGACATTGGTTTTGGTAAAAAAACAAGTGTAGAAACAGTTTGTTTGAGCTTGCCTTTACTACACTACGACTTGTCACTCTTCAATATTTATCGGGTTTGGGAATTTGAAGGAATCGGACCATAAATAGAGAAAGACCCAACCTGGTCCTTTTTTCTTTGATCAGAAGTCTCAAGTTTAAGTCCTTATTAGGCGAGAATTAATTATCAGTGCAGGTATCAGACATCAGGTCATGTAAATCACAAAAAAGAAAAAAAAACGAGACCGCCCTGCATGAGTTTTTATTCCCTCTATTTTAATTTGTTTGTCTTACTTCCAACCTTTTTAGTCTGTTTAATCAACATCTCATATGTCGTGTTTACACTAGCATATCTTTAGTCTTTCTTTTTTTTTTGGTTTCCCACCCGGGGTCTGAAAGCTCCAACTAAATTTGAATCGCGCTCTGCAGGGGTGATGCGCTCCCAATATGATTTTCTCCATACCCACGGCTCGAACCCGAGACCTCTGATTAAGGAAGGGTGAAGCACTCCCACTGTTGGTAAAATATCTCTCAAAGTTAAAATTAAGAAAAGGGGAAGTAGTAGAATAAATTTTCAATGGGTAGTTGGAGTAAAAAGGATGAAGAAGAAGAGAGAATATTAGTAATGGAAGAAGGTGAATGACAGAAAGCAGTAAGGGAGGATGTGTACTTGACGTAGTCTTGACCTGACCGCGCGTGCCGTCCGGAATGGCAGTATGTTGATTCGTCGTCCTCTTCTTACCAACATCCATTATTGCTCTATCTAATCTATTGAGGACACCCAGTCACTATTATATACTTATTCGAAAACGACGTTTTATGAATCAAGATGCTACATTACACTTTCACTTT